GGCTGACTTTTTTATTTATTGTAGAGATGAGGTCTCACCAAGTTGCCCAGGCAGGTCTCGAACCCGCGGGCTCAGGCAATCCACTCACCTCAGCCTCCCAAGGTGCAGGATGACAGGCTGACTCACCAAGCCCAGCTAAGCCCAGGCAACTTGACGAGACCTCACCTCTACACTAAAAAAAAAAAAAAAAATTAGCCAGGCACCTGCACTGCAGTTCCGGCTACTTGGAAGGCTTGGGGCAGAAGGATCACCAGTGCCCAGCAGGTCAACTCTGGGATGGCCATAAGTGTGCTACTGCACTCCAGTCTGGGCAACAGAGTGAGACTCCACTTCAAAAAAAAAAGGTAGTATTTCATGATCAGGTAGAACTGAATTTAGAATGCACAGGTGGTTTAATGTTTGAAAAAAACCAATCAATCAATGCTGTGTGCTACATTAACATAATAAAAGAAAAAAAGACTATCTCAATCCATGCAGAAAAAGCATTTGAAAAAATTCAACACACATTCATGGCAAAATCTGTCAGCTACTAGGAATAGAAAGGAACTTTCATCTGATAGTCACAAAAATCTTATAGTTGACATCATACTTAATGGAGAAATACTTAACACTTTCCCCAAATTTGAAAACAAGACAAGGCTGTCCTCTGTCACTATTTCTTTTTACCCTTGCAGTGGACTAACCAGTATACTAAGCCAAAAAAAGGAAACATTCATATGGAATGGAGCCAAACATGAGCCAGAATAGCCAAAACAATCCTAAGCAAAAAGAACAAAGCTGGAGGCATTACATTGCCTGACTTCAAATTATACAGCAAGGCTATAGTACCCCAAACTGCATGGTACTGGCACAGGAGCAGACACACGGACCAATGGAACAGAATAGAGAATCCAGAAATAAGCCCAAATACAACCAACTGATCTTCGACAAAGAGAGCAAAAACATACACTGGGGAAAGAACACTCTGTTCACCAAATGGTGCTGGGAAAAATGGATAGCCATATGCAGAAAAATGAAACTTGATCACTCTCCCCATACAAAAATTAACTCAAGATGGATTAAATTAAGTCTTTGCGTCAGATCTGAAGCCATAAAAATCCTAGAAGAAAACCCAGGAAAAGTTCTTCTGAACATAGCTTTAGGCAAAGAATTTATGGCTAAACCCCCAAATACAACAACAACAAAAATAAGTAGGACTTAATTAGCTAAAAAGCTTCTGCATAGCCAAAGAAATAATCAACAGAGCAAACAGGCAACCTACAGAATCAGAGAAGACATCTGCAAACTATACACCTGACAAAGGATTTATATCCAGAATCTACAAAGAACTCAAACTAATCAGCAAGAAAAAGGCAATTAATCCCAATAGAAAGTGGGCACGCAACATGAACAGACATACCTCAAAAAAAGATACACAAATGGTAGACAAACAAATGAAAAAATACTCAACATCACTAATCATCAGGGAAATGCAAATCAAAACCACAATAAGATAACGCCTAACCCCAGTCAGAATGGCCATCATTTAAAAACAAAAAACAATAGATGCTGGCGTGGATTCAGAGAAAAGGGACTGCTTATGTTGGTGGAAGTGTAAATCAGTACCACCTCTACAGAAATCAACAGGAGATGTCTCAAAAAACTAAAAGTAAATCTACCATTTGATCCAGCAATCCCACTACTAGGTATCCACCCAAAGGAACAGAAGCATTATATGAAAAAGACACCTGCACTGGCTGTTCATCGCAGCACAATTCACAACTGCAAAGGTGTGGAATCAACCTAACTGTCCCTCAACTGATCAATGGATAATGAAAATGTGGTATATATACAAGGGGATCCAAAATATATGAAATGTATTTATACTAAATTGTGTATTTATTCTTATTTGTTTAAACTTCAGTCATCTTCAAAGTACTCTTTGTTTGATGCAATACATCTATCAAGATGCGTTTTCCATCACTCAAGACAGTTCTGAACTCATCCATTCTGATGCCTTTTAGTGGTTCTGACATTTCTGTTGCGCCTCACCCACATCAGCAAAGCGTTTCCCTCTGAGGATTTTTTTCATTTGGGGAAGCAGAAGAAGTCACTCGGGATGAGACCTGGTGAGTAAGAAAGGCAGGGTGTGGGAGTCACGCCACTGTGGGTCAATAACTGCATACTCAGCATGATGTGGGCAGGTGCCTTGTCACGATGAAAGAACCAAAAGCCTGTTTGCCAGAGCTTGGGACATTTCTTCTCCAAACGATGACGCAACCTGCTCAGAACTTCCAGATAAAAACTTTGGTTGACCAATGATCTGGAGGAGCAAATTCTGAGTGTATTACAAGAGGCCGGCCCTTCAAAAGGTATTTCCAGGTTTTTTGGTTCCCCTTGTACACTATGGATGACTATTCAGCTACCAAAAAGAATGAAATAATGTCTTCTGCAGCAACTTGGATGGAACTGGAGAACATCATCCTTAGGGAAATAACGCAGGAAGAGAAAACCAAACCCTGCATGTTCTTCACCTATGAATGAATGCTAAACCAAGGACCCACAGAGACATTGAGAAAGGTATGCCAGACGCTGGAGACTCAGAAGGAGGAGGGCAGAGGGTTGAAACAATCAGCTATCGAGTACAATGTGCACAGGTAGGGGTGGAGGGTACACATAAAGCCCAGACCAAAACCTGTCTGTGCCCAGAAAAGCTACTGAAATTTTTAAAAATTAAAAAAATAAAAGACATGAAAATTGTAAATAAAGAAGCAAAGCTATTGCTAGCAAATGACATTAAAAATACATTAGAATCTACCAAGTATTGACTTTAGCAAAAGTTACCATGTACATATCAATTAAAATAATAAACTGCATTTCTACTTGCACAAAGCAGAAAATGAAGTTTTAAAAATACCCTTTATAATAGCACCAATAAACAAGTATTACAAAATATGCACAAGACTGCTACACTAAAAACTATACGACACTGCTAAGACCTTAACAGAGAGGTAAACCATATTCATGGACTAGAAGTATCAACATTGTTATGATATCAATTCTCCCCAAATTAAGAGTCAATGCAAACATAATCAAAATCCTAGCAGGAACCTCTCAGGCAAGTAACAAGCTAATCTTAAAACCTATATAGATATACAGTGAAAACTCACCAAGTTGGAGGACTTGCACCACCTAAGACTTACTTCAAAGCTGAGATAACTGAAACAGTGTGTCAGTGACTCCGGGAGAGGCAAAAGACACACAGTCACACACGATTCATCACACGGGCACCACTGCATTTCAAGAAGAACCTTGACCCATACATACCTCACACCATATATTAACGATTAAGTTAGGAAGCAAAGACTCCTTAAATAGTACACAAACATATTACCATTAAAATAAAGGTTGATAAGTTGGACTTTACTAAAATAAAAGACAACATCAAGAGAATCACAGGGCCAGCCACAAACTGGAGAAGACACTGGCAGTGCACACGCCAACAAAGGACTCATATCCAGAACGTCTTAACGACCCCACAAATCTGAACAAGAGGCAACCCCAGGGAGAAAGGAGGAAAAGCCTTCCACAGGCACTTCACAAGATCATATCAAGACGGCCAGGAAACCGTCCGAAAAGGTGCTCGCCATCAGGACTCACGGGGAAACGCAAACTGACGGCACGCCACGACACCGGCACGCCCAGCAAAAGGGCCAGCATCAGGCAGACGACATCCAAAGTTGACCAGGATGGAGAGCAGGGGGAACTCCTGCAGACTGCAAGAGCGAAACTCTTGAGCCGCACTTGCAAGCCGACACACACGCCCCCGAACGACTCTCAGCCACCCGTCAAGTGCCACATGCCAGTGTCCACTAAAAGACACACACAAGAACGCACATGTCTGCAACAGAAAACAGCCCAATGCCAGCCAACAGCAGACAGGGTAGGTCAGCCTGACACATGCCAACAAAGCAACACGATACGGCAACAAAATGCACACACCCGCATGGATGGCTTGCACCCCCCAAGGAACACGGAGTGAGAAGACACCTCATCCCACAGGTCAGGAAGGACCAGCTGCTCCGACAAGGCACCCTCGTGGGAGCCGAGTCAATGGCAAGGGGCCCAGACGACAGCCTCGAGGGCACGCGCTGAGGTCTCCAGCCCCTCTAAGGGTGTGGCTGAGGTGTGTCCACAGGGGCTTTCTTCCTGTGTGTCCCCTCAGACCCTGCCTCCGGGCTGCCCCTGCTTGGCTACACCTTCATGCCGCCCTCCTTTGCTCAAACTGGGTCTCCGTCAGGGCAAGCACATCCCACCAGCCCAAGTCCGACCCTGTCCCAAGAGGACTTGTCTCACCACTGAGGGCCCTGTCTCCCTCTACTCTCTGCACTTCACCTGTGACTGTCCCTTCCCACCCCCAACCCCAGTGGCTGGCTCGTCTGGTGAAAGGTTCCCGAGCCAGGACTGCTGGCCAGGGCCGGCAGGGACCCCAGGGCAGGAAGATCAAGACCCACACCAACAGGCAGCTGACGTCACGGCTCAAAGGCACAACAGAGGGTCGGCTCTAACTGCCAGTGGGAAGGACACAGACGTCAAGTCCTGGGGCAGACACCCTGATGAGGAGGGCACGCAGGAGCCGAGGCCTCGTGGGAGGGGGTGTCTGCCCTGGGCGCCGTGGGGAGGAGTGCCCCAGCACAGCAGAGCCAGGAGGCACAGCAGCCGTGGGTGAGGCAGCAGGCTGGGGAAAGCAGGGGCCGAGGCCAGGGCTGGGCCAGGTTGGGCAGGAGGGGCTGCCGGGGCCTGGCCGCGCAGGAGGATGGGAGCAGCCACGGAAGGAGGGGCGGGCATGGTGTGACCTGAGGCCAGGACAGCGAGCAGGGAGAGCCCGGAGTCTGCCCACCGCCCGCCTCCCTGGCCACGGCCCACCGCGAGGCCCAGGCTCAGCCACCCTAGGGGCTGTGCCTGGAGCCCCCCACACGCTTCCTGAGGACCCGATGTCCCACAGGCTGCTCCCTGAAGTGGCGCGCTGCCGAGCAGGCTTCACCTCTTCGCCCAAGCCCACTTACTCTTCTCCCCGTGCCGGTTCAGGTGCAGGCTGCTGAGGTCGGCTTGGAACTGAGGCCCCACCATGATCTCCTGCAAAGGCAGAGGCCCAGGGTCAGGACACTGAGGAGGAGTCCCGGGTGGACAGGAGGCCGGCCGCCACGCGCTGTGGTGGGCTCCAGGCGGAGGGCCGCCGTCCATACCCAGACCCACCGGAGCAGCCTGCCTGCTGACGTCCAGGTCTGGGGTCTGGGGCCTGAGGACGGGAGGCAGAAGCCCAGGTGTGTGCATTTGTGGGCGGCGCCCTACGGCTGCGCAGGAGGCTCCAGAAAGGTTGGCGGAGCACAGAGTTCTGGGTGCCCAGTCAGCCCAGGAGTCAGGTGGCCCAGGCATCCCGAGAAGGGCCTGGTGGGACTCAGAGGTGGCGACCACAGGTGGGGAAGGCAGGGAGACAGAGGCACCACATACCTTCTTACATTTGTTGGCAGGAAGGGAGTCCTCCTCGGCGTCGGAGGAGGCAGAGGAGTCGGGCCCTTTGTCTTCGCCAGCCAGGAAACGAGCTTTAGGAAACGAGAGGCAGGTCAGGCGCCGCCCACATGGGCACAGCCCGGCCCCACCCTCCTGGGTGACAAGCTCTCTGTCTCCACTCTCTGTCCACCTGACCCCCACACTGTGACCCCTGCCTGAAGGGTACACGGATGGGCACAGGACCCAGAACCCAGAGGCGCCCCTGAGGAAAGAGGTCTTTGCCCTCTTCTGTTGCCACATCAGTGGGCCCCAAGCCCCCAGGTCCCAGGAAAAGTCCGCAGAGGCAGGCAGACCTGAGGGAGGACACTTCTGGAGGTGCTGTCCCTGAATCCGCTAGGGGAACCAACACATTCCCGCTTGGTTTAAACCCAAACCACTCCACTCAGCTCACAGGCCAGGGCAGAGAACGAGACACCCAGGGCTACCCACACTCCTCACATGGGCAGACGCCCTTGTCTGTGCACGTGTTCTTGGCCTGCGCCAGCCCCAACACCCCTCATCGCCAACGCTAGAACCTTGCAGGGGCCCAGCTAAAAGGGAGGATGGAACAGGAACACTTACGTCCACTCTGGTTAGGGAAAAGGTCGGAGGCCTCGTGGGAGGTCACGGATGGGGTGAGGTCGTCTGCAGATGACTGTGTCTCTTCCTCTTCTTCCCCTGAAAGCAAATCCTTCGCTATTTGTTCCTTTTAACAAGAAAGTAAAGAACATTTTGCAGTTTGTTTTAGGAATCTCAAAGTAACAGCAATGACAATAACAGTGAGGACTGGAACAAGGAGCTTCCCTTGCTGGAAGCCTAGGGCATGTGGGGCTGCCACTCTCATTCTGTAGACAGGACAACTGTACCCATGACCACAAAAGCTGGGACAGTTAGAGCTGCCACTGGGCACCCACCCAGAGCTCACGGCTTTCTCGGCCTGTGCACTTGGTTTGAACCGTAACGAAGCCTCCCCAACCCGACCGTGACCTCAGGATGGAAAACATCAGACGGCCCAGCCCTGGGGAGGTAGGTCACTGGCTCAGCTCCCTGCCCAGCTGCATCTCTTCACAATCGTCCCTGCTCTGCCCCCTCCGCCCACCCAAGCCAGATGACAAGTGGCCCGCGATTAGGGTCTCTCTGCTGCAGCCCATCCCCGTGGCCACTCCGACTCTGGGTGAGTGGTCACAGGGGCTGTACCAGTCACAACGCTCAGGAGGAGAACAAGAGCCCTTCTGAGGAGCAATCTGCAAACTGGCCTCGTGTGCACGGGTCATGTTCTACTTGTTCTGAAGGACTCTGTGCCTTTTCTTGCTGAACCCTTCATGCACAGGCAGCCAGGGGCTCCCCTGCCTTTTGCTAGGAGCCAGTTCCAGGAAGAGGCCATGCTCACCTTGTCCAGGGTCATGTCCGGGAGGTTGGGGGCCATGTCGCCACCCTCGCTCTCCCGTTCTGAGAGGGGGTCTGAAGCCTCATAGCCGTAGAGTGCAAGCAGCTCGTCGAGGGGCATGTCGCTGCTCTGAATGGGGAAGGGGGACAGGGCCCCGTCAGGAAGGATTGCTCTGGGGGTTCTGGTCCCCTTCCTCCTGCCTGAGCCTCGCTGGCCACCACAACCAAGGCCACTCTGTCATCCCCAGGTCAACTCCTCACATGGCAGTATTCCCTAGCCAGACACCAGGCCCAGTCCTTCACCCAGCAACTCCTGACAAGTCCCGGAAGAGGCACAGGTGAGACATCTCAGCCTAGAGGTCACCAAGCAGGGAAGGGTGTAACCAGAACAGGCCTTCCCGTCTACACCACACTGCTCAGTGCCCCCTTTCACAACAATTCCTGGAATGCAAAGATGGCTTGATATCTGGCAATCTACTATCACAATAATGACATCGACAAATCAAAGGGGAAGAAACAAATATGAAAAAAGCATTTGGTAAAATCCAACATCTACTCCTGATTTTAAAAACAGATGGATGCTTCATCCATATAATGGAGAAGTTGTTAACTCAAAACGGGTCAAAAATGAACAGCCAGAGAAATTCCCATCACAATCTGGAACAGGATCAAATACTGTTTTGATGCTTTGAGCCAATGTAATATGACTAGAAATAGAAATTTGGCTTTTAGGCCGGGCTCGGTGGCTCAACCTGTAATCCCAGCACTTTTGGGAGGCCAAGGTGAGTGGATTGCCTGAGCCCGCGGGTTTGTGACCAGCCCAGGCAACTTGGTGAGACCTTGTCTCTACAATAAAATAAAAAATTAGCTGGACGTGGTAGCACACGCCTATAGTTTTGGCTACTTGGAAGGCTGAGGCAGAAGGATCACCGGAGCCCAACAGGTTGACGCTGAGGTGGCCATGAGCCTGGGCGACAGAGTGAGACTCCAACACACACACACACACACACACACACACACACACCCCAAACACACAGGCATTTAATTCCTTGGAAGGAAGAGACACAAACTATCATTGTCTCCCTCTCCAGTGTTGCTTTCAAATCATTATTTCTCCACCCTTGTGTCAACCTCTCTCTACTTCGAGGCTAGAAGCACCTGCCCAGACTCCAGCCTGACGGCAGGTCACCATCAGCTTCCAACTTCCCGGACATTCCCTCTCATTCTCCCAAGATTTCAGCACCAGTCTCCCTGCACCCCAACTCCTGCCCTAACTCATCTGGGGAACTTCAAGTCCACACGGAAAACCCCCAAGTCCACTCCCAGCTCCTCCTCAGGGTGGCATCCTCAACCCTCTCCCCATCTACATCAAGTTCCCCCTTTATTCTCTCTCAGAACCCAACATCCAGCATGCCTATCATCATTTCAGATTATGAACTTGGAGAGGTTCAAACAGTGGTCCAGAGGTCCCCGAGTTCCCTAGGACTTTTTCAGGGTCACCCAAGATGAAGCCACCTTCATCAGAGCATGAAAATGTACTTCCTTTGTCCACCGCATTGACACTTGCACTGGCAGCGCAGAATCAACAGCCAGTAAGAGCCTAGTGCCCTGCACAAGTAGAGGCCAGTGCAGCCCCATGCACGAGTCATCACTGCCTTATTCCCACATAAAAGGATGCAAGCTTCACTTCAGAATATCCTAGATAAAGCCAGCACTTTGTTAAATCTCACCCTGAGCAGATGTTTCTGTTCTCTGTGTGAGGAAATGGGAAGCACAGAGAAAACACCTGCTGCATACCAAAGGGAGGAGGTTGCTTCGAAGAACTTTACATGTAAGAACGAGTGGTGAGGTGAAGGGGCCGCACCTTGCAGTTTCACCTGTAAGAATGCTGGCGGAGTGCGGTCACTCAGACGGGCACTGGGTAGGGGCTGCCTCATACAGGAGCCAGGGGCTGACAGACTCCAGCCGCTCAGACGGGTATTGGGCAGGCACACTTGACTCGTACCTGAGCCGCGGGCCGGCAGATTACAGCCACTCGGATGGGCCCTGGGGGGAGCCGCCTCACACACAGGCTGGGGACTCGCAGACTTCAGCCGCTCAGACAGGCACTGGGCAGGTGCAGACTCATACGTGAGCCGGAGTGGCTCTTACTTTAAAGGAAACAACTGACTGTGCTTAACGTAGAGATAAAGTTAAGTTTTTAAGGAAAATATCATAATTTTGGAAAACTGGGATTTGACAACATGCACTTGCTGAATCCAATGCGAATTGTTACGGACAACCGTAATCCCCAGTATGACTGTATTTGGAGACAAGCCTCTCTGTAAGTAACTACAGTTCAGTGGTAGCATGAGGATGGGGCCTAATCTGGTAGAACTGGTGTCCTTAAACAAAAAACACGGAGTGTGCCACTGCACTACAGCCTAGGCAACAAAGAGTGAGACTCCAACTCAAAAAAAAAAGAAGGAAAGAAAGAAAGAAGAGAAAAACACCAAAACCACCAAAGAGTCTGCTCACTTTCTCTGTCTGCCATGTGAGGACACAAGAAGGCAGCCCCCGAAGCCCACCCTGCCAGACCTTATCTTGGGCTTTTCAGGCTCCTGAACTGTGAGAAAATAAATTTCTGTTGTTTAATCCACCCCATCTGTGATATTTTGTTACGCAGCCCTAGCAGACGAATACATTAACAAACGGGGCCTTTTCGTTTTATAGAGATCACACACGGGTAAAGATCCACTGCGGGCTCAAGACCAACAGATGGTGACAGAATCAAGGACAGAGGGCTCACCGATACGGCTTCAGAGTCCACTCTGCAACTGTTCTTTACAAACTACCAGTCGCTGCATTTTGAAGAAAAGTATCCCGCTATCCGAAAAGCTGGTAAAGACTCCCCTCCTTCCCAGCAACAGATCTGTTTGAGGCTAGATTTGAATTTCAACCAAAAGAACCTATCACAATAGACAATATCTGCCTTAAAAGCCAGCACCTAGATTCTCACGTCTGCTTCTACATTCAAAGAAAATGTAAAATTAACTCTTCTCTCTCATTTTTGCTTTTGGAAAATAGTCATTTTTTTCATTTTCATTAAAAATATATTCCTTATATTACATGTAATCAATGTCATTTCTTTTTTTTTTTTTTGAGTTGGAGTCTCATTCTGTCACCCAGGCTGGGGTGCCATGGCACACTCACGGCCCCAGCATCAACCTGCTGGGCTCAGGAGATCCTTCCACCTCAGCCTTCCAAGTAACCATAACTACAGGTGCTACCACTCCCAGCTCCTGACAAGATGAGATCTTGCCGGGTTACCTGGGCAGGTCTCAAACCCGTGGGCTCAGACAACCCACTTGCCTCGACCTCCCAAAGTGCTGGGATCACAGACTGAGCCACCGAGCCCTGCCTACTAATGTTACTTTTACATGAATTAGTAAATAAGCGTTTTTAAATGCCAACTTTAACTTGTGGGTATAGTCAAAAGGCAACAGATAAATCACATAAACAAAGCTTCTTGAGGCCCTCAATAATTTCTGAAAGCACAAAGGGGACCCTGGGACCAGAAGTTTCAGGAGAGTTGGTTCCACGTCCAACCACCACGCTGGCTGTGAGCACTGAGAAGGCAGCCGGTCCTCCGCTGAATCAGTCCTTAGCAAGTGCCCAGAGCCTGGGCGAAGACACGCAAACAGCCGCGAAGCGCAGCTGCTCGCAAACCTTGAAGCTCGCCCAGGAGGGCTCCACGCCACACGAGCCACGTACCTGGGAGATGAAGTCCTTCTCCAGTGCCTCCTCGGGCTTGTCTGGGCACCTTGAGGCCTCCTCGCACTCCTCCCGGACGCTGTAGTCCTGAGACAGGATTTCGGTGAGGCTGAACCGATGGTCTCCAGAGCCCATGGACACCACTGGGGAGGAGACAGCAGCCCAGGTGAACACCAAGCCTCTCCTGTGACCCACCACTGTACTGAGAGTGGACAGCTGGGGCAGGAGAGGTGAGGGGGCCCTGCTGCCCCAGGGACAAAGCCCTTGGTGTGCAGCCGTGGGCAAGAGGCTGCCCAACAGGACCGGCATCTGGCAAGGACCCCGACAGAGCACCTCCTGGCCAATGTCCACACCAAGAGAGGAGCAGGCCTGGCGCACTGCACACACAGAGCCCAGTTTTCCTGAACCCACAGGCCACGAGGATTTGGGGAGCAGAAAGAGGGCTAGTTAAGTCAGGGTGAGGGAGTAGCAGGACTCGAGCCAGGTGCACACCTGGCTCCACAGCTCACGTATGGTCTCAGGTGAGGCCCTTGGCTCCCGAAATGGGGTGATGCCGGCCCCCCCCCGTGAATCACAATGGAATCAGGTACCATGCAGAAAAAACGCCAATGGGGCCTCAACAAATGCAGTTCCTCATCCCCCATCCGCAGGGCCACGGCACTGCCACATAAAGAAGCCGTGCTATAAGCACTGCCCGACAGAGAGAGACGGTCACCAACGTAAGGATTTCCCCCCCAAAGAACCAGCAGGCGTTCTCTGTCTCCTCTCCATGGTTAGTCTTCAGAAAGTCAAACTTTGAAACGAAAAAGGAAACAGACAGAGCTTCATCAATCCAGGCAGGGGGCATGGACGCCTGAGGCTGGGGATGTGGGGTCGGGGTCCAGGACGGGGGGCCCTCAAGAGGGCTGGTCACACAGGTGTGCGCGCGTGCACACACGTGCACACACACACACACACACAGACACACACACGCTGTCAAGGGGACACGCTGCAGCCCACAGTTCTGCATGGAGGACCCCGTGTGAACGGCACTTGTCGAAGGGAGGAGGGACCTGGAGCTCACTCCCAGGAGGAGGACTCGTGTGTGGGGGAATGGGAACCCGCTGCCTCCCGTGGGCTGGGTGCAGGCAAGTGCAGATGCTGGTGGGAGACGCAGCCCCTCACTGGCCTCAGCGGCAGCCTCGCAAGAGAAAAACCATCACAGAGAACTCACCCTCCAGCACCCCCCTTCTGTGGTCCAGCACAGGCGGCCAGCAGGAGGGGCTGGCGGGCCTGGGCCTTGGCTCCAACCAGGCAAGCAGGGGTGCCGCCCACCCAGCTCCCGTGCCACCTTCTCCAGCCACCAGAGCCCCTCCACTAGCCACCCCCGCCCCCCACCGCTCCAGCAGGCCGGCGCTGCCCTCGGCCTCAGGGGTGTGCTGGGCTCTAAGGGGGTCTGGGCTGCTCAGGCTCCCAGCCAGTGCTGGAGAACAGAAAGGTGGAGGCCTGACTCCGCGGGAACGGGTGGCGGCTGACCCCCCCACCGGGGCGCCGGACCTGGCCAGCCAGGCCAGGCGAGGACACTGTCTCTCACAGCCACAGAGACCCTGGCAGACGTGGGCAGTAGGAAGAGGGGGCCAGGGAGGTACCTGCGGTTGTCTGCAAACCAGGCTCCCCGGGGCACAGGCTGTGAGCGAGGAAGGAGACCACGTGAGGACTCTGCCTCCCCAGCGAGGAGGCCTGTGGAGAAGAGAGGCGGGTGAGCTTGAGCTCGGCTCCAACCTGGTGCCGCACCTCACAGCGTGGCAGCTGGGGGCGTGCGCTGGTCAGAGCCCAGCCACTGGATGACCTGGGAAAGTGGCTTCACCTCTGCCACTGAGGCCTGGGGGATGGGAACTGAGAGCAGGACAAGCGTCAAGCATGCGGCCGCTGCTAGCCATGTCTCCCGCCAATGACTTGCTCGGAGGGTCTAAGCTTTCCCGCTCAGGGTGGGACACATGACAGCAAAAGCCGCCACGAACGGCCCTATGATCCTGACCCATGCTACAAGCCAGGTGGACCCTGAGAACAGCACGCTCAAGGGGAGAAGCCAGACACAGGAGGCCACACAGTGCAATTCCATGTGCGTGAAACACCCAGGACAGGCAAATCTACAGCCTAGAAATGGATTCATGGTTTGGGGGCTGGGGAGAGGACAGTAGGGAGTGACTGCTAATGCGAATGGGCCCTCTTTGGGGATCTAAGAATGTTCTAGAATCAGATACATGTGATGGCTACATGACCGTGAAGATACTAAAAAAATCACTGAATTAAACAATTTTAAATGGGTGTATCTTATGGCTTGGAAATTACTCCAATTTTTCTTAAAAAGGCAAACAAAACCATTATAACAAACACTATTATCATAATGTTCAAAGGTTTACTGAGAACAAGAAAACTACAGACCCAGTATCTCTCATGAATGTAAACACAAAAATCCTCAAAAAAATACTAGCAAACTGAACCGGGCAACATATAAAACAGGATTATAAACCGTGACCAAGTAGGATTTACCACAAGGATGCAAGATTGGTTTAACATTCAAAAGTCAATTCATGTAACACACCATATGAATAACATAAAAAACGAACACAGGATCATCTCAGCAGGCTGAGTTAACAAAACCCAAAAACCCTTTCATGATAAAAACACTCAACAAACTAGGGAAAAAAGTGAACTTCTCAGCCTGATAAAGGTACCTATGAAAACCCATGGTCATCACGGTGCCCAGCGGTAGCAGATGATTGCCCCCCTCACGCCATGAATAAAAGTGAGTTCTCAGCCTGAAAAAGGTAGCTGCGAAAACCCAGTCATAATGTTGCTCAGTGGTGGAAATGGAAGCCACCTCATGCCATCAACACAACAGTGGTGTCCACTCTCAACACTTCTACCCAACATAGCACTGAGGTTCCCAGTCAGTGCTAGAAAATGAAATAAGAGGAATCAAGACTGGTAAGGAAGAAACTGAACTACCTGTTTTTGCTGGTGACATGATCTCACACATAAAAAAGCCCTAATTAAAAAATGATTCCAAGTACTAAATGAGTTCAGCAAGATCGCACAGCACAAAATCAACATGTTCGATCATTTCATTTCTACATACAAGCAATGAACAACCCAAAAAGAAAATTAAGAGGACAACGTGTACAGTACTCTGAATGAACAAAGCATTGTTGGAAAAATTAAGGACCAAAGTGAATGAAAAGACATCCCGTGTTCGTGGCTAAGAAGACTTAACATTGAGATGACAATACTCCCCAATGTATTTACAGGTTCAACACAGTCTAAATCTATCAGAAACAAAGCTGACTTCTTTGTAGAAACCGACAAGCTCATTCTAAAAAGCACATGGAAGTCCAGAATAGCCAAAACAATCTTGAAACAGAACACTTCCCGATTTCAAAATTTGCTACAAAGCTACAATAATCAAAATAGTGTGGTACTGACAATACGAATAGGCACATGAACCAGTGGAACAGAACTGAGAATTCAGAAACAAACTCACATATTCACAGTCTAATGAATTTTGACAAAGGCACCAAAACAATTCAGTGGGGAATGAATAGTCTTTTTTAACAAATGCGGCTGGGACTAGATAACCATACCTAAAAGAATGGAGGTGGGTCCCAATCTCACGTCACATGCAAAAATTAACTCAAAGTGGATCAAAGGCTTTGGATATAAGAGTTAAAAACGACACAACTCTTAGGAAAAAAACACGGATAAACGGTTGTGACCTGGGATTTGGCAAGTTTCTTAGATAAGACACCAAAAGCACATGTAACATAACAACAAAATTTGGTAAAATGAATTTCATAAAAGGAAAAACTTTTGTGCTTCAAAGGACACTATCAAGAAAGTGAAAAGACAACTCTCAGAACGGGAGAAAATATTTGCAAACCATACATCTCACAAGGGGCTTTTGCCTAGAATACATTAAAAACTCAGTAAGAAAAAGACAACCCATTTTTAAAAGGGCAAAGGATCTGAGTAAACACTTCCCCAAAAAGGATATACAAATGGCTACTAAGCACATGAAAAGATGCTCAATATCCTATCAGGGAAAAACAAATGAAATCCACAGTAAGATACCACTTCATAATCAAAGAATGACTATGATTTTTTTTTTTTTTTGAGTTGGAGTCTCACTCTGTCGCCCAGACTGGAGTGCAGTGGCCGCTCCCAGCCACCGGAGCCTCGACCTGCTGGGCTCCAGTGATCCTTCCGCCTCAGCCTTCCGAGTAGCTGGAATTACAGGCATGCGCTACCACACCCGGCTGATTTTTTTTTTGATTTACTGTAGAGATGAGGTCTCACTGCCCAGGCGGGTCTCAAACCCGCGGGCTGAGGCAATCCACTCACCTCAGCCTCCCAAAGGCGCGGGATTACAGGTTGAGCCACCGAGCCCGGCTTATGATTTTTTTAAAAAGGTAATAACAAGTGTTGACAAGAATGTGGAGAACCTGAAACGCTCCGGCACTGCCGGCGGGTGTGTAAAACAGACCAAGAAGGGACGAACACACCAAGTGAGGCGCCAATATGAATGGCACCTGGAAAGCAGTGAGGCAATTCCTCCCAAGTTAAACAGCGCTACCACATGACCCAGGTGGACACGTGCAGGTATACACCCAAGAGAAATGAAAACATATATCCACACTCAAGCTTGTACGTGACTGCTCACAGCAGGATTATCCACAACAAAAAGTGGAAAAACCCTAAAGTCCATCAGCTGACGAGCAGATATACAAAATACTAACCGGCCATGAAAAATAAGGAGGCACTGTCACAGGTACAATGTGGATGAACCGTGAGTAACATCATGCTTGTGAAAGAAGCCAGACATGTAAGGCCACACACTGGATGATTCATTTTATTTCCAATGTCCAGAACAAGCAAGTCCACAGAGACAGAAAGTGGATTAGTGGTTGCGAGGGCCCAGGGGACGATGTGGGGCTTAGGAAGTGACTGCTAAGGAGTGTGGGCTTCCTTTTGGGGTGATGAAAGTGTTCTAAGATCGACTGTGGTGGTAGGTGCACAACTCTGTGAATATATGAAAAACCACTGATTATACATGTTAAAATGGGTGGATTGCATGGTAAGTTGATTCTATCTCTGTAAAGCGGTTGCCAAAAAGAGTACATTGAAATATTTAGTAAGGTTTAAAAACTTAATTAGTAAGAATTTGAGCCAGGCTCGGTGGCTCAGCCTGTCATCCCAGCACTTTGGGAGACCGAGGCAAGTGTATGGCCTGAGCCCGTGGGTTCGAGACCAGCCCAGGCAACTTGGTGAGACCTACTGTCTCTACAGTCGGTCAAAAATTAGCCGGGTGTGGCAGTGCACGCCTGTAGTTCCCACTCCTTGGAAGGCTGAGGTGGAAGGATCGCCCAAGTCCGGCAGGTCGAGGCTGTGGTGGCCGGGATTGTGCCACTGCACTCCAGCCTGGGCAACAGAGTGAGACTCCGATGCAAAAAAAAAAAAAAAAATTTCAACACTGATTTCTTCACTGGGTCCTCAAGAAAAACCCCGAGGTGGGGTCATCATTCTCTCCACAAGGGAAACAAAGAAACCGAAGCTCCGAGAGGCCAAGTCCCTCACAGCAAGCAAGTGGGGCCATGGCAGACTCGAGCTCAGGCCTGAGACTCAAGGCCCTTCAGAGTCCACCACTCTGCACGGGAGCATGAACGACAGGACAGTCGGCCCTGGACAACATGGGAGCTGGAGGAGCCAGTCCTCCGCGCGGTCATGAACGCACACACAGGCTGGGCTCCGTGGCTCAGCCCGTCATCCCAGCGCTTTGGGAGGCCGAGGCGAGTGGGCTGCCTGAGCCCGCGGGTTCAAGACCAGCCCAGGCAACTGGGCAAGACCTCATGTCTACAATCAATCAAAAATCAGCCAGGCGTGGTAGCGCGCGCCTGTAGTTCCGGCTCCTTGGAGGGCTGAGGTGGAAGGATCGCCGGAGCCCAGCGGGTCGAGGCTGGGGTGGCCATGAGCGTGCCACTGCACTCCAGCCTGGGCAACAGGAGGAGACTCCCCAACTCACAAAAGAAAATCCACACATCACCACTGACTCCCCACAAATCAACTGTTAATGGCCTTCTGCTGACCAGAAGCCTGATGGATGACGCAAAAAGCAGGTGAACACACATCTTCTATGTTGTATGTATTATGTACTGCATTCTTGCAATCGAGGAAGCTACAGAAAATGTTATTAAGAAAGTCATAAGGAAGAGAAAATATATTTACTATTCATTAAGTGGAAGTAGATCGTCATAAAGGTCTTCATCCTTGTCATCTTCACGCTGAGGAGGCTGAGGAGGAAGAAGGGGATTGGTCTTGGGGCCGTGGGGCGACAGGGTGGGAACAACCCGCGTGGAAGTGACCTGTGCAGCTCAAACCGTGTGGCTCAAGGGTCAACTGCACACACACGGACAGCCAAGCCACGGGAAGGAGCAGGGAGACAGCAGGGCTCTGGCACCGCAGCCATTCAGGCAAGCAGGCTGGTGAGGACCAAGCGGCACCTGAAGCTCTAAGCAGGGAGTGACATGGCCCAACCAGCCTTCGCCACATGGCGACAGAGGCAACGAGGAGAGAAGGGAGGAGCCAGCGGGGACCCACCCGGGTGGGAAGGGACTCCAGGGACCAGAGTCAGGCAAGGCACACAGAGCGCCTGGCAGCCCGGGACACCTCACACCCTCTGCCCTGGGGCTAGTCCAGACCGGCAGGGGTAGCAGGGAGGCGCTGCAGCCTCACCTTCCAGGAAACAGTGGTTGGCATCGGCCCGCAGCTACTCTGCACGGTCATTTGCGGCACAAAGCCACGGCGAGGGCACCCCAAGAGGCCCTCTCTGGGACCCTCTGGGTGGGGGGGGTCTCTGAGCAAGCGCTCAGGCCTCAGCCAGGGGGCTGACTCCTCTCCTTGCTTGCACGTGGGAACCCTGACCAGCAAGGAGGGACGAACACACCAAGAGGGGCCCAAGTGTGAACGGCGAGTTGACAACAGACCCCCGGGAGGGGCCTCTGGGTTCAGACAGAGTGGCAATCACATCTGCCCAGGAGGTTGTGGCCCTCACCTGACTTGCCACTTAACAGGGGAGCTCAAGCAGAGAGGGGCACAGGAAGAAGCAGCCGGCGACAGCAGACAGAGCCGCCAGCATGGAGGCCAAGCAGCCTCATGTCCTCACGTTGATCTCCAGGCGACTCCCACGTTCCTCCCGTCTACCACGAATACGGACTCCACAGGCTTCCTCCCTCTCCCACCCCACCCCAACCTCCAGGTGCAAGGCTACTCTGCGGGTGGGATTCCCAGGGTCCTGCCTGCACTGAGAACACTCCGGATGTTTCCATCCGAGTGCAGGGCCAGCAAAGCCAAAGTCGTCTGTTTTGTCAAAACAGAAGGAGGAAAAAGATGGGGAGCTGGACATGGGTATTCCAGATAACAAAAAGAAGAAAGCACAGACAGCACTCGAGGGACACGGTCCCAGCCGCAGACTCCGGCGTCCCTCGAGGGTCTTGGGGAGTGAGGAGGCAGCCTGGACTCGCGGCAGCCCCTCCCCAGGTGGCCTCTCATTCCCACTCGCCACCTTCAAAGTTCAACCCAAAGTGACACAATGGCGAGTTCCCTTCGCCGAGATGGCTGCCCCCACATTGCCCCAAGCTCTTTCCCCACCAACGCTGCACGGCCCGGAGAGGCGGGATCTAAGCCCTCTCCCCATGGCTCTGGCCAGGCCTGCAACCGTCAGGAAAAGGACGCAATCCTACGGCCAGGTCATGAAGTTCACTTCTGGTGGACCGGTCGCTCTTGGACCGGGGCCGCCCTGCTGTGTGGAAGCCCAGGCCATGTGGAGCGGCCCGTGCAGGCACCCAGCTGACAGCCAGTATCCACAGTCAGTCTCCAGCAGACTGCAACCCTCCGGGGACCCCGGGTGAGAACTGCCTGGCTGAGTCCAGTAACCCCTCAGAACTACGAGCGATAATAGTAAAACGGCTGCTGCTGTTTTCAGAGACCAAGAGTTGAGGTGACTCATTACGCAGCCAAGAGCTGGCTGGGACAGCCCCCTCCCAAGAGCCACCTGTGACCTTCCTCCCACCCACACCAGCTAAGGTCCTGGTCCCTCGCTGGACTGCCCGGCATCCCACACCTCCATCTGCCCAGCCGAGCACCTGCTCTGGGCCAGGCAAGGCCATGGCATAACAGCTAACCCGGGGAGCAGGTTCTGCCCGTCTCCACCCACAAGGAGTTGCTCGTTTAGCTTCAGACACAGGATGGCAACCAAGTGGATGTGTACAGTACTGAGAAAACAGGGTGGGGGGCGATGCAACCGGGGGCCAGGGAAAGCTTCCGAGGGGCCTGGAGGGAAGTGGAACAGCTCACAGGCAGCCCCAAGGGCATACAGCACGCCAGAAAATAGCAGGAGACCGGGGCTGGCGGCGGGGCAGATCAGCGGGGACCACACTGCAGAGCTGGAGGTGCCGGTGAGGAGGAGCACTTCATCCCGGGACAGTGAAAGCCACAGAGAACTTTAAGCAAGAGTGAGAGAAGGTGTTTTCAGGTGTTCGCAGGGTCCGGCCGGGATCCCTCAGTACAGGACGAAGCATCCCCATCTTCCGCCATGGTGCTGATGATTATTTTGAGATGACAACACAATATAAAAGCAGTTAACCCTGATCATGGGTTATTAGGTCACAAAGCAGTCGAATATGAAAAACTTCCTAAGGCTCAACTTCCACGTACAGGCCACTAGGGCAAGACCCCAGGAGTCAGACAGCGACCAGTCCAAGTGTCACAGAAGAAGAGGTTCCAGAGCCAGAAAAGGGTCACTATGTTCAGCAGCTGCACACTTGTCAGTCCTTTACTGGCCCACATCTCGCTCTCTGACCAGACTCTAAATCCCTTCAGGACAGGCGCACTGTCAGATCCTCGTGGCCTAGCACAGAGCTAGGCACAGGGGGGAATCTCCTTAGAAAATTAAATCAAATTCACTCACAGGGCACTACCCCAAACTGCAAAACAGGGGTAGTACGAGCACCCTGGACACCCGGGTGCTATGTTTCAGGAGCTCGGCACAGGGCAAGGCATAATTACCAGTCAAAACAAAGCAGCTCCCAGGAGGATGGCAAGGGAGTCTGATCTATGCCGTCCAAGACACGCGGTTACCCGCGAGGTCACAGGTGCTGCCCAAAGGCCACCTCACTCCCAGGAGGGATGCCAGCCATGCCCAAGCCAGGAGCGCACAGAGGCACACCCCCACCCGACCACCCCCTCGCCGCGGGGCCACTGGGAAACCTGGTTTCCGCCTCTGACCCTGGTGGCCAGTCACCACCCCCGTGAGGACTCAGCTTCCGTAAGTGTGCCTCAGAGGAGGAGAACCAACACTCTAAGAAGAAACAGGCTGGTAGGATCTAGCCCAGGACCGAACAGCTACACCCGGAACAGCTACACCCTTGTAGGCACAAAGATGGCCGGCTGCTACCCCCGAAGAGGTCACTGGTGGGAGAAAATGGCCCGTTCCACCCTCCACAAGGCCCACCAGTGTTTGCCAAGACACAAACACGCAAGGTGGCCCCATGGCCAGGCCAGACTTCAGCCCCAGCTTCCTACAAAGCAGGTGCCACCCAGGGAGGCACCTTCTCCTCTCTGGGCCCCAGAGGCCCCACCCATGAGATAAGGATCAATTCCTGAGTCCGCAGGCCTGCCTTAACTTCTGCACACAGAGACTCAGGCACTAAGAGGCCCATTTACTGAGCTCCTGGCAAAGGCTGTGTCTTCATGCTCGTTACCTCATTCCATCTTCACTAGGGCCCTGCAAGGTGAAGGCAGGTGAGACAGGTCCACACGTTCTTATTCATCACTCCAAATTTTTTAAAAAGCTCCAAAAGCGGAAGTTTGTCTGCTCCCAGTTTGACCTGACACGTCTTTCCGTATCCTAGACCTGGGTGAGTGTAATCAAGTATCACGGTCCCAAACCCCGCAGGTCCTCCCTCGGGCTGTAAAAATCCTGGGCTCCAAAATATAGCTGGGCCCCAAAATGTCGAGGAAAGGGTCCCGGGCTTGCTTTCCGGCTAGAGGGAGGCGGCCCCGAGAAGTAACTTCGTGCCCCGGGGAGGGCTGGTCTCACTCTGCCCGGGCCACCCCGGAGCTCCTAGGCCGGCGGACCCACCCACCCGCTGCGGCCGGCCGGCGCAGAGCCGGCCCCACGTCGGGAGTTCAAATGCCGCCGGGGTCCGCCCCGAGCCCACCGGGGCTCGCG